GTGTAAATAATTGTGATAACTTTATTTTTCTTGCATATTATGATGTCAGATTTCATTATTTCTATGGCCCCATAGCCTCACGGTTGATTTTAAGCCCGAACAAACTCACATTTTGTTTTTGCCAGGGGCCACCTGTCAACTCGTGGTGTCTCCTGTTGGTCCAGCTCAGGTGAGTGCATTAAGTGGCAGCAATGTGACTCTGGCTCTGAGCTTTAGTGGTCCCCCAGACCCAGTGATTACCTGGTCTAAAGGAAATTTACCTGTTGGCACGTGGACCATAAACTCCAATTCCACTCCAGTCATCGCTCCAGACAGCACCAGCGTGCTCAGAATTGAAAGCAATGGATCCCTTACCTTTATTAAAGTACCGCTTCGTTTTACTGGTAACTACACCGTCGAACTAACAAAGTCTGGACTGGATAAAGTTTCCACAACTTTCACTTTGAAGATATTTGGTGAGTACAGTTGAGCCCTATATGGTGAAATGAATAGTTGCTTAACTTTTCATACTCTTAGGATAATTATTCTTCTCATATTAACTTGATTAACCAGATTGAAAATGAAAAAAAAAAACAAATCTGTTAATTCCTAAAGTGAACAGTTTTTATGAGGCTTGAACAAACAAGTCTACATCATTTGAGCCATGTGCTGTAATATGCTACATACTGAATATATAATAGAATATTAATAAATGTGTAAAATACATTTAAGCAGCTGAGGCAATAAGCAGTTGTTTGAAATATAAATAACTGTTTAGCCAACAAACTTGGAGTCCCTCCAGCTCTGAGGCTTGAAAGTGGCAGTCGTTGAACTCTGATGTGAAAGAAAGCTGAAAAATGAACAACCAAATCGCCTCGATGGCTTCACAGTTAATCACATTTTTAAAGTGAAGCGTTGTCCTAATGAAGCTTAATGGTGTTCCATCTGTTGCCTGAATGAAAGTACTGCTTTACCCGCTGATATCCGTTCACTCTTTCATTTGCAGAAAACATCCAGAATGTGACTCTGAGCACACGGCCGGACTTTGCCAAAGAGGGAACTGAGAGTTTCACGTTACAATACAGCATGCTTCAAGGAGTAGTCGAGCAACAGAAGTGGCTCTTTAATGGCGTGGAGGTGCAAAACAGCGCACACTATCTCACAGAGAGCCAGAGTCTCGTGATCCTCAGACCAAACCGGAGTGACACTGGATCGTACACGCTGACACTGACGAACCCCTTCAACAGTGTGACCACTCAAAAAAGTGTGACTGTTTTCTGTAAGAGATTTTTTATTTTTTTATTGCAAATGTCTTTTTAAATCTTTCCATTAACATTCCTCCATGTTTATATAACCTTTTCTTCTCTTCACTTTCTGGTTTGTTGTAGATGGACCTGATGAGCCCACAGTTGCAGTACATCCAGCTCTGCCTTTCTATGAAGCAGGAGACTCTTTGAACCTTTCCTGTCAGGCGCAGGGATCTCCACCGCCGATTGTCGAGTGGATGTTCGGTGGAGAAATCGTTTCTAACTCTCAACAAGGAAACCTGATTTTAAGAAATGTGCAGGCCAGTCAAGGAGGTGTCTACAAGTGTTCTCTGCTCAACAGCATGACTGCAGAAAAGCAGGAAAAGAATGTGACTTTAAATATTTATGGTATGTAACAGAATTAACTAGAGGTTTAATTTCTTGCAAAACTGCAGTGTGAATGCTTACTGCTGAAGAACTTGCTGAAAAACGGCTGAAATTAGCTAAAACATGCTGAAATGTAGCTGAAATGGAAGAACAAGCCCACGTTAGCAGAATAAAGCGGAAAGAAGACATATTTGCTGAACTAGGTTTAAATGAGCAAAAATTAGCACATAAAATGGGAAATTAGCTTAAAAAAGCTGAAATTAGCAAACAAAAAAAGAGCTGAAATTAGCAAAACATAACTGAAAAGTAGCTGAAAGCTTAAACTACCAGAAGGAAGTGGAATGAGCTGAAATGAGTTAAAACATGTGGATTGTGCTGGTGAAGATTCTCAGTCATCCAGGACATGATGAATTCAAAAAGCGTTCAATACAAAAACAACTGGACTTTATTAATAAAGTCCAGTTTTTTTTGTATTGAACGCTTTTTGAATTGAACATGTGGATTGGTAGCTGAAAAAGCTAAATTTAACACAAGAACAGCTAAAAGTAGCTGAAATGGCAGAAAAAGCTGAAACTAGTAGAACAAAAGATGAAAGTGGCATAACAAGCTGAAATTAGCAGAAAGAAATTAGTCTGAAAGTGGCAGAAATTACCATGAAAAATTTGAATTTATCTGAAAACAGCTGAAATTAGCTAAAATGCTTAAAATGTAGCTGAAAAAGTAGAACAAACTCAAATTAGCAAAAGAAAGCAGAAAGGACATGTTTGCCCAATTAGGCTAAAAGAAGCCAAAATGAGCACAAAAAAAAATGTGTAAATTATCTGAAAAAAGCTGAAATTAGTAAGAAACAGCTGAAAGGTAACTTAAAAAGTAGAAAAAGCTTAAATTACCAGGAGGCAGTGGAGAGCACATTATTGCTGAATTTGGCTGAAAAAAGTTGAAAAGAGTGCCATAAATGAGGAATTAGCTGAAAAAGATTAGAATAGCATAAAAACAGCTAAATAGTAGCTGAAATGGCAGAAAAAGATGGAACTTGTATAAATAAGCTGAAAGGTTCATAAGAAGATGAAATTAGCAGAAAGAAATTAGAAGAAGGACAAAAAAATTGTAGTTGGCAAAAAGAGGATCATGAAACAGCTGAAATTAGCTGAAAGTACCTGGAAAAAAGTTAAAATTTGTACAAGGAAGCTGAAAGAAGCTGAACCAGAATAAAATGTGAAAGCAGTAAAAGGTTGGAAACAGATCTAAAGATTATAATCTTCTAATGCTTCATAAGCATTCACACAATAACTTTATGTTTAGTATTGATGTGTCAAGTCAGTAAAACAATGCATCTTTTAATCAGTTTTATAAAGAAATATTTTCAGATATTGATCGTTTTTGTCTAAATATATAATTTTCTTTGGGTACAGAGAGGCCACAGGGCGCACCGATGTGCTCCGTGCATTCGGTGACTGATGCCACCCTGCAGTATCGGTGTGCATGGATAGGGGGTACCCCGCAGGCCCACCTGTCTTTCCCAGTCCTAAGCAACACCAGTACCGGAACAGAAAACTTCAGCCTGGCTGTGAACGCCTCAGCTAATCTTAACAAGAAAACAGTCGTTTGTATGGCAGACCACCCCCTCGAGCAGAACAAGTGCGATGTTACTGCAAGTCAGTATCTTTTTCTCCTCCTGCGATGCAAACTCAAATCAAAGAAAGCTTATTCAATAAATGACATCATCAGCAATAACTTGTTTGTCCCCCAGGTGCTCCTATGATGTTCCTTCCATCTGTAAAAAACACAGTCGATCCTGATGGTAAAATTGCGGTTACCATCAGCTGTTTCAGTACAGCGTCCCCTCGGGCTGTGGTGTCGTGGTCCAGAGGGGCTGAGGCTGTCGTCATCGGGACGGCACTCCAGATTAGCGGCAACACAACTCAGCTGAATATTCGTTATTACAATATCAGCAGTTTTGTCCTTGTTCCAAACTTCACCTGTACATGTAGCAACCCACTGGGCAGCCAGGGAGGGCAGATTCAGCTACAAGGTAAAGCAGCTCTCAGAAAGAAACCAAATCGTTAATACAAGTACTTAAAACTTCAGTACCTCCTGGGTATTTTTTTACGACATGTTTTAGTCTACAATTAAGCCCAGCAACAAAGTCAGATTGATAGTGTTCCCTTAAAAGCTGAGCAAAAAAAAAGTATTTGCAGAGTACTATTAGAAACAAGGTACAATGGACCCTCAGATAGAGTTAAGTAATGTCTAAGACTGCTGTTTCACTTTAAACAAAGCCCCTCAGTCTTTATAGCTCCCCCCTCCCTCTCCAGGACCATCAATCTCGGATTCCAGTTTGTTCCGTAATCAAGATGGAACCATCATCACATTGACCTGGGAGGTCCCACCTACAGCTATTGTCACAGGTAAAGCAGACGTTCACTCACGTGAAGCTGTTCTGACAGTTCCAGCTTGTTTTATCTTCACAGAAAAAAAATCCCTTACCTCCCCATCCATCGGGTTTCAGAAAACAGTACAACACATGCTTCGTTGAAGGTTTTTAACAATGTTGAAGCTTTGGATGCTAAGGATTATTGTGCTGCACTTTACTTTGACCTGTCTAAAACTTTTGGCACTGTGGATCATGACATCTTGTGTCATAAGCGCTCAGAAATTGGATTCTCAGTTCACACCATTGGTTGGTTCTCTAACTATCTCTCAGATCGGAGGTAATGTGTTAAACTTAATGGTACTTCTTCCAGTTATCTAATGGTGTACCACAAGGTTCTGTCTTAGGTACCACTCTCTTCACAATCTACATAGGTAATGTAGGTCAGATCATCCCTGATGCATCCTTACATTTCTACGCTGATGACTCAGCAACTGTTATAGCTCGACAATAAACAACTAAGGTTTTCCAGCTTTTATAATCTGATTTTGACATCATCCAGTCAGACTTGTTCCGTCTCAAACTTGTACTAAACACCGATAAAAACCAAAGGGGTGTTGTTTTCAAACAGGAAGTCAGTCCCAGCAGTCCTTCCCTCGATTTGATCTTTGAATGGTGTTCCTACTGAGTTTGTCGATTTGTACCAATACACGAGTATCTGAATAAATAAAGGTTGGATTGAACTGAATTTAGGAGAACACACAGACTCTGAACTTGAACACCTAAGAAGAAATCCTCTGGAATAAAAAAAAGCCGTCTAAATGTTCAAAACAGAAACTCTTCCCAGAACATAGGGGTGTAAATACTGAGTCATGTGTGAAACCTCCAGGTAGGCAGGGCTGTGTTTTGGGCAAAATGTTTTAAGGGACAGACTCGCTATGAAAACAAAAGTCAGATTTGGTTTTGTCTGTACATGACGTCATTTCAAAAGAAAAACCTTTAAGCTTAAAATATTCAAATCTGTTGTGAGGTGATGTCAGCTCTGATGCTACAACATATATATGTGTGTGTGTGTATTTTCGTTATTAAAGGATTTGAAATTCAAATGAAAGGACCACCTCTCCTGAACAAAAACGGTAAAACTATCCCCACCAAAAGCACTTCAGATGGGTACCACTCCATTCAGCAAAAACCTGGATCTGCGAGGAGCGCAGACATCTTCACGCTTGATCCCAGCTTGACTTACCGGTTTCGCATCATCCCCAAAGCCCGTCTAACTAACGGACCACCATCTGTGATTCACAGAATTGGTCCAGGTAGGAAAAACGTTAAAGCATCATATGTGTTTCAACTATATTAGGATGATTAAAACTAATGATTTCTTGTCATTTTTATGGTACAAGGTGAAGTGCTGAGTGGACCTGCCATCGCTGGTATAGCAGCCGGAATCCCATGCGGCATTTTCGTCTTGGTTTTGCTGTGTGGCCTTATTTATCTCATTTTCTACTACAACAAAAATAAAAGTAGGTGCACTATAATAATAATTTAATGTGCATGCTTGTAAGCCACTGTTTGGACCATAAAGCATGATGAAGAGTTCTGTGTCCCACACAATATATTAAACAGACCAGTTTTTCCATTGGATCATTCCAATGTGTGATGGGGACACTACTACAGGCCTGCTTTCAAAAGATTTGATTTATTCTTTATATTGTCTGCGTATTTTAAAAACTAAATACTGTATATTTCCTGCTTGTAGATCGTCAGACAAGATACCCAGTCTCCAGAGCCGTTGAGAAGGTTTGCATGAATATTTAGGTCAACCTAAATGTTTGAAAACTTTTGATTTAAAATAGATAAGTGTCATTTGAAAACACTTGACAGGTACAAAATGGGTTACATGCTGTGTAATGATCTCTTCTGATGTTTTGTTACTGCAGACAAAAACCTCCCAGCTAAATACAACTCCTCATAAGCTCTTGGCAGGAAAACTGACGTCTCCTCCTGACTACAACAGGTTACAACAGGTACATTTTTGGTAATAATCAATATGCATATTTACCTGAAAATCAAAAAATGAACTGCCTTGCGTTTTCCTTTTCCCTTCCTTTTAGGGTTTCTTTGAAAGATCTGCGGCTCTGCCTTCGTTTGTCGCACCACCACCCGTCAGAGTTGCAACAACAGTTTAACTGTTTCATTTGTGTACATTTTGTAATATACTTTATTTTACAGACACGTTGTCTATCTATTTTTTCATTATTAAGTGTGAATCATTTTTGTGTGATTTTAAACTTTTCTTCTTTTTCCCCACCAATAAATATGTCTAAGACATGTCTGGAAATGTATACTCTTTTTATCCATTATTATAATCATCTTATTTCTATATTATCTTATTATATCTTACTTGCCATCTGATACACCATACATTGTTATTACTATTATATATTTTTAACCCAGTAGTTAATATAAACGGGACAATTTGATTAACTTGTGCAAATGTTTCTTTTACTTATAGAGGAGTTATTTCAGCTTTTTTTTTTTCTATTTAAGTTTAAAATAGATTTTAAAATGGGATTACCAACCTAAACATATACTCTAAAATTTGAAATTATTAACTCCAGCTTTGTATTTTAATTCAGTACTTCAGATTGTGCCATTTCATAATTTTATCACACCAACTTTCAAATAAACAAATTGTACTTTCTATTCCACTTTAGTGTTTTAGATCTAATTACATAAAGCTGTATGTAACACATTCATTTTTACTAAATAAAAAATATTGTTACTTTTATTAAACCTTTTTGTGTCTGGCATTTTACAAAAACAAGGATCTTATAAGGATTACTTTATAAATTAATACTCCGATTGATATTCCTGGTACTATTTGCTTTATCCCCCCAGGAAATAATACAAATTAAAGTAAACACTTTTTTGAAATTTCCTTCAAGGCATTCTTGCTGCAACACACAGGCTTAAAATTATAAATCTTTCCAACAGATGGCAATATAAAGCAGTATAATGCATGCCAAACTAAGATTGCAAATGGTGTGGAAGTACATGTACAGCATAAACCACTTTCTACAGGAATATTTTAAAATAGTGGGAAATAAGACACAGTAAAAAAAAAGTTTCAGTCAATAACAAGTCATCCAATGGTTTAAAGTAAAATTAAACAAGTCCAGTTCATTAAAATGTGATTTGAAAAAGTTCATTATAATTCAACTATATTTATATTTATACATTCTGTTACGAAAACCAGCAGATCAGGTTGTATATGAAGCATCAGGTGACAGTGGAAAGAAAACAGGAGGAAACTATTACCCGCTTCTTCCTTCTCAGGTCGCGGGGGTCACTGGTGCCCATGTCCAGCTATCACTGTGGGAGAGGTGGGGGACACCCTGGACATGTCTCCAGTCCATCACAGGGACTCATAAAGACAAACAAGACAAACAACCTTTCATTCTCTCACACACCTAGAGACAATTTAGTTACCTATCAGACTAACATGCATGTTTTTGGTCTGTGGGAGGAAACTGGAGTACACGAAGAAAAGCCACGCATGCACGGAGAGAACATGCAAACTCCACCCAGAAAGGCCCCCGGCCGGGATTTGTACCGGGGCGACCTGCTCGCTGAGAGGCAGCAGCTCTACCAGCAGCATGCACCTGCAGCAACATAAGTTTCATCTGTGTCATAATGAGCAACACTGCAGGAAGGTCATGTGAAAACCGTAAAGGGGGTGGAAATTTTACAGTGTCATGTTGTTTATTTGTCACATGCAGGTTAACGCAGGGTCAACAATGCACTGAAATGTTCAGGGTGAGAAGAACCGATTCGACTCGCTAAAAAAACAAAAAAACACAAACTAAAGCATGCAATAAAAGTACAAAATAAAGGAACAAAAAGTGAAAAAGAAATATAATATTTACAAGGTCCAAAATAAATATAGTAAACAACAACATGGTAGAATATAACGGTGCAAGTAGGATGAATTTGTATAAATAGGTATTTCACAGGTTGTAATATAAGATAAAATGCACGTGATATGTGTTGCACATACTACACAGGTTGTGTGACAGGTTATTGCACAGGAACATCTTGATTAATTGAATTATGATGGTTATGATACAGCCACATAATGCAGTAGCAATAAACATGCAGTAGGAGAGGGTGGTGGCTGACAGGTGCAGACTTGCATCAAATGGCGAAACGAGGTGCTAGCACATGAATGATGCAAACTCCTGACCACACAAACACAAATGCAACAGAAAAATGCACCAATAAACAAATGCAAAGGAAAACTGCCAACATCAATAAAAAACAAAAACAACTCAAGTTCTCCTGTCTTCTCCCCAACTTTCTTGTGAGCATCCGGTTAATGTCAGAGGGTCTGGTCCCGTGTGACTTGGTGGTCGAGCCCCCCTTTTGGTCCGGTTCATTTCCATTTTGTGGAGTAAATTTGCAGCATTTCTTACAGTTGCTTCTGGAGGTGGTGGGGCGGGGTTACTGTTCTTGGTTTTAGCAACGTTTTTTCTTTGCATTTGTTTTGTAGCTTGTATGCTTTTTCTTCTGTCTATTTTTTGTGATTGCAGAACTTTTCTTTCACATTTTTCTGCTTCATTTTTGGTGTGTGTTTGCTTTGGAGTTTGCAGCATGCATGTGTTTGCTGCACGTCGGCGCCTGTCGGCCACCGTACCGTCCAGCCTATTCGCACGCGTTTCAGAATCCTGCTTCTCTGATGGTGTGTATCATCCAGCAAAGAAGACCCAGGACCTTTGAACAGCTAGAATCCTGTATTAGACAAGATGCACCACATTTGTCTCCAAAAAGCTCAAGCATCTTGTCTCCCCCAATTCCTAGATGCTTACAATGTGTTGGTAAAATAAGAAAATATGCTTCACATGACTTTGTCCCAAATTTTTTTAGATCTTTTGCAGTCATAAAATTCAAATTATTTACTTTAAAAATTGTACAGTCTCATAGTTTCAACATTTGATATGTTGACTGTTCCACTGAATGACTTGTGACTTTTCCAGGATCTATCTTCGCACAGTGACTGATGGATGGGCACCTGCTCCCCCACGACCTGGAAATAAAAAACAAGGAAACAGAGATGGATGGACTATTTTAAAAATATGAATATTATACTAGTTTATGACATTTGTGGATCACTGCTTTCTACATTTTATTAGCATTTTACACAATGTCCCAACTTTTTTTTTTAACAGGATGTATTTGATTAATTTTTTTCTACATATCCTGTGTCATGTATACCCCATTCTGCATGCAGTGTGCAAAGTTATCCAACAGCTCTTTGGTCATGTATCTGCTCTAAGCATGTGTGTGTGCATGACCACACCCCAGCTTCACTGAAAGAAAGTGTGTGCTTCAGCATGTTCCATTGACCACAGCAGTACTGCAAGCCTTTGCACATCCACAGTTCCAGAACGCCTGGTAGAACAACAGACAAGGACTGCAGAGCAGTGGCCTCGCATCCCAGATCCTCTCCCCTCCCCCAGCGCCATCGCCTCTCCTCTTATCCCCTGACCCCCCAAAATACTCCCATGTAGTTCAGTGTGAATGAGTCACGTGGCGTTTGGCCCACCAGCTCAAGTGCGTTTGTTCGGTGCTGATTGTTTTAAAGTATTTTGCCTCCATCAACAGAAAATTGGAGGGGTTAACCTTTTGGAATCCAGCCTGGAGCTTCCTCTTTGACATTTCGCTCACTCCTGGCTTGCACCCTCTCTCATTCTCCACCTGAGGAAGGACTTCCACTTATAAGGGATTGTTTATCCTGAGGAATTCTGGTAAGATAATGTGTTTAATTTTATTGTTTTTGTCTCAATGACAGAAACCACGGGTTATGATTGGTGGAAATAAAAAAACAGAATATTATATTTGCATGACAAGCAACTTGTGAATGTCACATGTTTGCCCTGAAAGAGTTTTGAGCGGTTTTAGTCTAAGATTTTGACACATTTAACATCAGGTCTGCCTTTTTTGAATTAAAATTCCATTTTAAAATGTAAAATTTCATTGTTACTTATAATTATATTTCTAAATGTTGCATTTTGACATATACAAGAGGCTTGTTATATTGTATACAGGGTATATAAATAAATGTAGCAGTATATAAAGTATATGTTCAGACCCAGCCATTCAGAAGATGATGAACGTTTGCATCAGAGAAACACCGACCCAACCACACAGTGATGCTCATTTCACACTTCTAATTTTATTCACCTTCATTTACATCATATTTTTAGGGTGCATTCTTCTTCTTCTTCTTTTTACCTTTACTTCCTTTCGCAGAATGATGAGCTGATGGTGGGTTAACAATCATGTTCTTGAATTATTATAAACTGGGCTTGTGAATCTGGTTCAAAAAGTTTTTAAAGTGCAACAACTCTCCTTTTTTACAAATGACAAACTCATCACGGCAATCAGAGTTTATACAAACCCTCATGAATCTGTAGATAACATTTCCCCGGAAAGGGCAACTTTAAATTTTGTTGCTAATAAGAGTGTTTGCCCAAAACAACAGCTCAGTTAGTTTTGCAATGAGTCCTTGTTCACTCTTTGCACTTGCTATTAGAGGAGGTAACATTTCTAAGGGGGGAGCATTAACTCCATCGTTTACCAAAATTTGTTTAACAATCCATCCATTTTCTTTTATCCACTTTTTCCATTCTGAGTTGTGACAGAAACACTGTGCAAGAGGCAGGGGACACTCTGGACAGTCCATTACAGGACAATTAGAGTTACCATATTTTTCGGCTTATAAATCGTGTTGTTTTCCATAATTTACATGCCCTGTGACTTATACACTGAAGCGACTTTTTTAATGTTTTTTCCCAAATTTCTAAACCAAATTTTGGCTATGACCGTTTTCATTCATTCTGACATTGAAAACATTGAGCACTACCATTTTCAGTCGCTAAATGGCACTCAAGTGGTATGGCATGCCATTGTGTCATTTAATAGGTAAAAGTGGCTATTAATGACACAATCGACTTGCCTTAGTTTGCCCTTCGTACAGCTTGCCTGGAGCAACTGTCAAATCAGCTTCATTTTGCTGCGCCGCCCCGGTGAAATGCAGCTAATTTGACCACTGAAGTGCATTTATTAAGTAAAAGTTCAACTGAGACACACCTTTGCTATAATGTCGAGCAAACAAATAATTGTTTTAGGTGCTTATCTTGTTAAATGTTGAATAAATGCACAGTGAGTTGTCCCTCTGCATGCTCCTGCTTCTTCAAATCGGCTTTTTAAATGCAGCTGATTTGACCGTCAAAGTGAATTTATTGAGGAAAGTTAAACTGAGACACACCTTTATTATAATTTCGAACAATCAAATAATTGTTTTTAAGTGTTAATCTTGTTAAATTCTTGTTAAAGTCCTCCCATGCACGCTCCCGCAGCCGCCATTTGGCAGCCAATCAATTTTTGGCACAACACCAGCCCACATTTACAGGTTCTCAGTGGTGACGCATAATAGATGCAACTTATATGGCCAAGCAACGTATTTATGGATTTCTCCATTTTATTAGACATATTTGGACTGATGCGACTTATAGGGCAGTGTGACGTGTACGGTGGAAAATACCATACCAGTGAACCTAACATGCATGCTTTTGGTCTGTGGGAGGAAGCCAGAGTATGAGAAACACATGCAAACTCAACCCAAAAGGGCCGGGAGGCGAACTTGTGACCTTTTTGCTTTAATGTGACAGTTCTAGTCACTGCTACGTTGTTGTTTATTTCATGGAAACATGTTAAGTTTTAATTAAATGTGGAGAGAAAAAAGAGAAAGAATAGTTATTTTTGACCGTTTGAATTAAGACATCAGGTACATTTCTGTCTCTGTTACAGCAGATTAAGTGACTTGTTTCTTCCGACTAAATAAAAATGTTCTTCATTCTTTATAGCTAATAAATGAATTACTAATTAGTTTACGAACAACGCTGACATTCATTTCATTCTTTCTTGCAGTGCCTAAAGCCTTTGCCGGCATCATAATTTCATTCATGATGTACAGCTTCATGGGAGGGGGCCTGTTTTGTGCCATTGTGGGAAACATCTTGCTGGTGGTCTCCACGGCCACAGACTACTGGATGCAGTACCGTCTGTCCGGCAGCTTCGCCCATCAGGGCCTGTGGAGATACTGCATGTCTGGGAAGTGCTACATGCAGACCGACAGCATCGGTAGGTCGAGAAATCTGGCGTATGCAAAATAACGTTTTTTATCAGAATTACGCAACCATCAAATGGTGGAATTTCAAATGGGACACAAAAGTTTGTAAAAGAATATGTCGAGTTTATGATTGTATAAAAAGAAAATCGAGATTGGCTGTGCACATTTTGTTTATTTATTTCAAAGTTAAAGACAGACTGTATTGTTGCAGAGGATTTTAACCTAAATTTCAGCAGCTTGATCTGGAGATGACTTGTACACAAGAACTGACTTCCTGCTGAAAGAAATGAAACTGTTGTCATGGCGATGAAGGCGTATCTTTTAAGAGTGTGGATGTATCACTATCATGATTTTTGTACTTCATACTTGACTGTTCAAAACATAGCGGTGGGTTTTTGGTGACTGTTAGCCTGTTAGCGTAGCTTCCGCTCTCTGCTACACTAATGCAAAAGCTGCTGCTCTTTTAAGATGGACAAATGAACTTTAGATAATTACTCTTGGACAAAATATGTGTGCATGCAACACAGCATCGCAAACATAAAAACAAACAAACCAAACTGAAACCTCAAAAATGTTTTTAGACTTGTTCTTCAAGTGTAGCCGTTAAAGACAGCAGACACTGCAGTGTTCAGGGTGCACGGTGTTGGGATTATCCGCTTCAAGCAGCACAATAAGCATTACTGAACGTTGTTGTGTTAGTCCCACTGCAAAGTAGTACATTTTTTTGATATAATTTATGAAAGAAATAGCATTATAGAAGGAATGTTTTTTTTCCCCTTGAATAATAAAGTTTTAAACAGGTTTTACGGGATATAATTCTCAAAGTACTGACTCTCAGGCACTACAACACCAAGTTTTAGCTGAACATTTTGTAAAATAAACTGTGTTATAGCTGTTTTTGTGCTTGATCAAGTTGATTAGTAGCAGCTCACTTGAATCAGGTTTAAATAGGTAATCAGCTGTAGATGCACATCTAATGATCACTTTCTGAAAGTTTCAATGAAATATACCATGTGATAAAAGACACGTGACATTCATTCAATCTTTATTTGTACAGGTTAATCCCATTGAGCCTCAGGAACTCATTTACAAGAGAGACCTGATTTTTTTTAACAAAGAGTGATGACAAAAGTGGACAACAAAGACAACAACAGACAATCATAAAAGATGCGTACAATTTTTTTTAACAAGTTAAAATAAAATGGCAACCAAAAGGACAATCAAAAGTAAAAGTAGCGAAAAAACAGCTAGATTATAAAGCGGTGTAGAAAACTAAAAACAGGAACATGTCTACATTGGTTTCTGCCAGGAACTTAACAGATGTTTAAAGCTACTTAGGTCAAGGTCGAGGGCTTCAGATCTTTTTGGAAGGTATTCCAGGAAACAGGAGCTGAGTAGGAGAAGGCCCTTTTGCAAAGTTCAGTTTGCACTGAGGGAACACTGCAGGTAATAATGTCCTGAGAGCGCACGCTGTAGCTGCACTCACGCAGAGACATGTAGGAGGAGATGTATGAAGGCAGCAGACCAAGAAAA